GATTAAGATATAACTAATAATGGGATCATTTTGATTTGAGTAAATAGATCCGATTTAATCTTTCCAGTGCAGGCCCTAAGTCTCTCCTAAGTCACTTAGGCACTTTTGAAAATGTTCTTTAAAATACTGAGGTTATGCTACAGCTAAATGATAAATGACATTGCTACTTTCTCTTAATGGACTTCTGATATTTAAATTTGTTTCACACCTTCACAGCCATTAAAGTTTCTATGGTAAGAGAAGCCAGGACCCAGACAGATAATTAAATAATTTTAGTCTTAATAAATCTGGATTGTAAATATAGCAGTCCATCCACACTTTGCACAAACCACTGCACCGAAGTCTAGCATCATAATAAGAATGCAGCTCCTGAATTGCAGGGCTTGGTCTACACTAACAAGGAACAGTAGTCCTAGCCCCTCTATGTTGTATGTGCTGACAAGGAGGCTTGGGCTGTCATAACACAGGATGCAGATGTAACCCTGTAGAAAGGTGCATCAGTGTACCAGGTTATTCAGACACATGGTTCTGGAAGTATAGCATTTACCTCTGGTCCAGTGGGCCCAATTTCCAGCTAGGCAAACTGATTGTAAAATGCTGCCATTCTGATTAGGAAGGGTTTAAAATCCACTTTGCCAACAACTATATATGGTGGAAGGGGGAGGAGGGCAAGGGGGATGACAACTGGCCACTCTGTGTTCCTTATAGCATAAACCACAAGTTTGTGTGAGCGACCAACCCTTCATTCATATCTCCTGTCTTTACTACAGTCTTCTTTTCTTTCCACCTCACTAACTCTTCATTATTGTTCTTGTCTGACTCTTGCCTAGAGATCTTCATTTTTTGCTTCTTTTTCTGTTCATTATTTCATTCAACTAAGGGATTTGGGACACCGTGTGAAGGCAATTATACAGAAGTATAGTCCTTTATTTAGATAGCCAGATCCCAAGCTGAGTTTGTAAGGCTAACAACTAGAAATATTTTCCCTTAAATCTGAATAGAGAGAAATTACTGAGACAAACACAGAATCCCAGGCTATCATTTTACAGGCTTACTTTTCAGATAATAATTGCACTTTAATATATTCTGATGCTGAGTTCCATTTTATTAGGAATAAAAGCTCCCAGTCCGCCATCCTACTACCCAGAACTCTCTTTTGTCCTTCTCTCTCAAAGACATTAAATGGAAATTTCAGAGAAATTACACATTACTAGATTGCAACTCCTTTTAAATAAAAAAAATTATTATGTGTGTGTCTGCTTATTAAGCAAAATACTTTTGAAGGCAATGGAAATATTCCCATTGATTTTGGTACCACTGTCAATGTAAGCATCATCTTTTAATTTGATGCCAAGTTTATATGATTTTTTTAAATACATGCATCAGTACTGAGTTTTATTTTATATGTTTAAACCATGCTGGCAAATTATCCACTACTCATGAGAAATAAGCAAACAAGCAAATCTGCCTTATGGGTCTTTGCCCTCAGATCCCTTCCTGTCTACAAAGACTTTATTGTATGCCCTTTGCTTTACCTATGAAGGCAAGTGCTACTTCTAATGAAATAGACAGCACTAGCAGAAAGTCCCAGACAAGTACTTTCTGCTGGCTAAGAAGAGATTTTTCAACAACAGAAAACAAGTGATCAGCAGATACAGTTAGCAGATATCTGTTGGGCAATTCATGTGAGCTATTTGTAAGTGTTAGCCTTTGCAGGACTGGGCCTTTAGGAAAAAGAAATCATGATCCAGACAAAAAAAAAATTTTAATGATCTTGATTTAAGTCTTTCTACTGTTAGTAGCTAGCCAGTTATTCCCTGTGAGGTGATGGACAGAAATTAGTCTTTTAGGCTGCATCCAGAAGAGTGCAGCCATGTGGAATGTGGTGCTGCAGACACGTTTGCAGCACCACATATTGTACATTCAGCTGTTCTCCACGCTGCAAGGGAGGAGCGCAGGGAACAGCTGGTGGCCAGGCTCCAGGCAGCAGGATCACTACTGCTGCAGCCCCAGGAATCCCCCAGGACCCTAGGTAAAGCTGCTGGGGGTAGCCTGATGCTGGCCCCAGCCTCCCCTACCCCACCCGGGGTAACCTGTCATGTGCCAGAGGGCTCATGGCACAGGCATTCCCCAGGTCCAGTTAGCAGTAGCACAAGGTGTCCCACTGTTAATTGTTCCTGGAGAACCCAACGTCCATGTTCATGTGGACCTGGCCTTGGAGACTTTTACCCATGTTCATAAGTAATTCCTTCTTTTTCATAAGTGAGGATGTAAAATTAGTCCCTGTACTTGCCTAGTTACTATTTATATGAATGCATGTCTTTAGATACTGCAGCTAACAAGCTTTCACTACATTTTAAAACTTAATTCAAAACGCCTATAGACTCCCTGCTCTTTAGGACAGTTAAAATTCACTTGTTCATTTTCACTACATCCTCAGATGCAGCAATTTCTAAAACTCTAAAAGTTGCCCAATAGTGCAGTGAGCCAGAATATTATCACCTCCCTATTATGATTAAATCAAAATCTCCACATACAAAAGAAAATAGACTCCTCCTTCACTCCTCTCATTGTAGCATAGTATATAATCCATTGCTATCCTGTCTTAGGTTCTGTGCACACATTTCTGACCTACTTTTATGATCAGGTTGCACTGGTTATGCTTTTGATTTCACAGGGTGAATGAGGCACAAGTGAGGAAGGGAGAAAGAGTCAACTCCTAGTAGCCACATGGTGGAGCATTAAAGAAACAAATGCTTGACACATTTAACTCATTGATGGCACAGTTTACCTAAGCAAAAAACATTACCAAAATAAGAAAAAAAAAAAGTGAGGGTTCTTCAGTGTGTCATGTGTATGTCAGTCTGTGCACAATAGATTTTACTTTGCTGATAATGCGATGCTTAGCCAAGCAGCTGGAGTAGACTGGAAACAGCCTTGCTGACATGACTGTGCCTAGCATCAGCCCACCTTGCAGTGGGGCTGACAGCATTCTGTGCAGCAGCAGCAGCGACCACCAACATGGACAACAGCACAGTCTGAGCCCCACTGGCCACTTGATTGCAGCCATCTGCCTTGCTATCATCGGGAGCCTGGGATTCTTCCATAACCTTTTGGTTCTGATAGTTTTTTGTCGGAACAAAGTGCTACGATCTCCAATTAACCTACTGCTAATAAACATTTCTGTGAGTGACTTGATGGTGTGCATCGTAGGAACCCCATTCAGCTTTGTTGCCAGCACTCAGGGCCGCTGGCTCATTGGACCGGTAGGCTGCGTGTGGTACGGCTTCGTCAATACCCTCTTTGGTAAGTTTAACCTGCTGCACTTGCATGTCCCCAGCACCTTCCCTCTACTTCTGCTTAGTTTAGAACCTCTCTTGGCCTTTGGCCACATAGGGAGGTGCCAGGACACATTGCAGCTTAGTTCCCCCTACAACCTCCCTAGCAAACCCAGTGGCATTAAGCTGTATTTTTCTTAAATAAAAATTCTATCATGCTCGTTCCTAACAAATTGGTTTGCCAAGCTGCTGCCCTCACTTAGAACAGAAAATGGTAGTGAGTTTATTTTCCATCTCTTTCCCAGCAAGTTGTCTTCTTACCTGACTTCAAGTCCTTTGATGCGGAGTGAAAAGGAAGCAAAAGAATGCAGGCTCCCTGGACACCCCACGAAGGGTGGCTGCAGGAAAACTGCAAGGTTGTGTCTGGGCATAGGGCATGAAAGGCTAAGAGTATATGTGGAGTGAGGTGAGAAGTGAAGGACTGGAGAGTGTGTGTATAGAGGGTGAAGCACTGTGTGTGCTTGAATATAGATGAAACAGGATATCTAAAGGAACTGAAAGGCTGTGGGACTATCTGTGTTTGTATACAGTGTATCTGAAAGGTTGTGTTCATCTTTGAGGAAGTAGAGAGCTGCAGAACTGTGTTTGAGGGGGGGTGAAGAGTTATTAGACTATATGTCTGTGTAGGCATGTGTGAATGTTGTGGGTTTGTACATGCATTGTGTAGAGGAATGGAGAATTATAAAGTTGTAAGTGGAAGGGGTGGAAAACTATGGGATTGTATGCACATGGTGGAGAAAATTAAGGACTGTGGGATGAAGTGGAAAGTCTAAAACCTTTAAGACTGTGTGTGTATGCAGGAAATATAAGAGTCTGTGGGACTTCATGTTTGTGTGTGTGGTACAGTGTAACAGCTATTATACCATATATAACTGTGTGTGTGAAGGAGGATAGAGGGCTATTAGACCATATACATGTGGAAGAAGTACTGACAAACTCTGGGACTTGTGTGCTTCGCTGTATATTTGGGGTGGGGTGCAAAGAGCCATGTAACTGCATATGACTGTGTTGGGAGGGAGAGAAAGGCTGTGGATATGCACATATAAGGAAACTAAACAGTATTTTTCCAACTCTCACAATTTGATAACAAGTTTCACAACACTTGGGGTTTTCCTTAAAGTCACAGTTCCAGAACTATGCCATTAAAAATCTTCAATTTCACTTTATAAAAGGGAAATATCTGACCATTGTGGTTATGGAGAGAAATTCCCAAATATGCAAGCAAATAACTCCAAATTTATTATTTTAATTTTTAAAAATTAGACCTTATTGATTTTTTTTTTGTTTCTTTGGGGTTGACAGAAGTGAGGTGCAGAGCAGGAAAAGTATGTGTTTGCAAGTCTGAGTGAACTGTGATGGGTGTGTGTGGAATAGGACTGCGCAACTCTACATGCCTGAGGGTGTCACAAGGGTGGATGAAGGGGCTCTGGAATATCTGAAGGTGGCATGGGAAGAAATTGGTGAAAAGTAGAACAAAGAGAAAAAGAGAAGAGACAGACAGAATCCATTCACACTCACTTCACCCCCCACCCCTCCACAGGGGGCCTCTTGCACTCTGGCCCACTCTCACAGGAGCCTCTTCACACCACCCATCCCAGGCCACACTCCATTGCCCTAGCTCCTCTTGAGCAACCCCTCATGGGCTTTTGGGCTTAGCTACTCCCTCACTGGTACCTCCACACAGCAACTTCAGTTCCTGTGAGCTCCCCTACTCTATGTGGCATAGCCTTAGACCAGTGCTAGGCTGCATCTGCCCCAAGCCCCTCCCTGGGCAACTAATTTCACCAACACGCACTTGGGGTTGGCCCATATACCGCCCTTCAAAACACTTGAGCAGCCCTACTCGGTACACCCCCTGATACAGCCCTTCAGGCCACCCTCAGCAGCCCTACTCTGCACCCCCACATGCTGAGTCCTTCAGGTGCCCCTTATTGCACCCTACTCTGAGCCCCCTTCACCATAACTCTTCCCAACAACACTACCCACTCTGGGGCCCCTGGGACCCTCTGTCGCTGCTGGGCTGACAGTAACAGTAAGCCACTGGCACAGCAGTTAATGATACTGTAGAGACAACTAATGCCCCAGTTTCACTGACCTTCTTCCAGGTCAGGACTCTGAAATGAAACCACTGCTTCATGGAACTACAACACAACCATTTCTACAAGGTGCAGTTGGTGGGAAGGGTCAGTAATGGGACTGACATATAATCCATCAGTCACAGCTCCGTTTTCTGTGCTAAAATAGATCTCACACTCAGTTGCTCATCACAGGGGAAGGAATTCTCTGAAGCCCTAGAATTAGCTATGCACTAGAAATGCTTCATATTCTTGGAGTCTGAGCCTGGAGCAGCATACAGTCTGTACAGATCTCAAGACGTGTTGCAAAAGGAGGTCTGTTTAAGTTTCTAGCTAATAGGCTAGCTTCAGTTGTACTGGGAGAGAGAGAGTCTACATGCCTATAGGGAATGAGAGTTAGGTTCTCAGATTGTATTCATTCTTGTTTTAAACCCAGAGTGCCTAAAGCCATCTGGACTGTTCTTGGTCCTTTCAATCAATAACAAAATCTTGTGGTGGGGAGGTGGAATGGAGGGAAGAGAATAAAAGGAGAATAAAAGGAATGCACAGAGCCTATGCTTGTGTATGACAAGCAAAAGGAAATTAAGATACAAATTGATTTGTTCTTGTCCAAGTCTTTGCACTGAAAAAGATATATTTTATATTTCTGCACTGCTTCTCATCCCAATGTATTCTAAAGCATTTTACAGGTTACAGCTCTACAGCACCATTAAAGTGCAACAAGCTCTGATGCACAGGGAAAAAGGCAATTGCTATAGAATACACTGGATAACTGTGCCAATGAGAAAAATCTTTGGTGAAAAACAATAATTTGCATGACTAAAAAAAACAACAGTGGTGCCATTACAGAGCAAACAACTTCTGCATGACCAGGGACAGATGTTACATTTTTATCAGTGTAAGTGATTGGAAACTGGTCTATATATCAGTAACAGGATAGAAGTTCAGCACACAAAACCGGTCTATACCTGTAACAGAACAAAAGTTTGGCATGCATAGACTGGTTTAAAAATGGTGGAACCCAGTCTGTATTGCCCCCCTCCCTCCCAACAAGGGCCAATGTATATTGTGTTTGCTACTGATCTAAAGTATACCACTTACAAAAAAAAGTGTAACTTAAATCAATTCCATGTCAGGCTTTTGGAATGCCTGTACCTAGCCCACAGGTCTACAAATCAGGATCTCCAAATTACATTCCTTTTTCTGTCACAGACTTCCGGTGAGAGCTTGGATGAGTTACTAAATCATCATCTTAGTTCCCTGAACTGTAAAATGGGGATATTTTCTTTAAATCAACCTAGTCTGTGTAGATTGTAAATTCTTGGTATCAGATTTGGCCTCTCACTATGTGGGCACATTATACATGAGACACATTAATGTGCATTATTTTAATGCGTATGATGGGTGCGTGTCTACAGGTACATGCCTTTAATGTGCATACAAATGGTGAAATTAGGCTAATCGCATGTAAAATTTGATACTTGCAAATGATTATGTAAAGCACATTAACACACGTGTAGACATGACCTGGCACTAACTTTAGTGTCGGATCTGCCCAGCCACTAGGGGCACATGGCAGAGCTGCAGGGACTTGGCAGTAACTTTAGTGCCAAGTCCCTTCACCTGTAGACATCTGCCAAAAAAAAATAAAAAAAATCACTTAATGTGCATTAACTTAATGCACATTAAATTTCAGCAAGCTTAAACGCAGATGTAGACACACCCAGTATATATGAGGTGTCTAAGTTAATGGGGCTCTGATCTCAGCTGAAGCCTCTAAAAGCTATTACAAATATACTATAGATCACATATAACTAGTATTTCAGGATGTGTGAATGTGCCAGATTTTACCCTCCTTTCCTTTCTACCACACCCGCCCCTGCATACTAATGTCTCTCAAAATTTCTGTGCTTAAGGTTCTGCATAAATTTTTGGGAAAATGATTTTGAACTGGTAGAGGTAAATCAGACAAGCTACTGCTGGTGATATGAAGTAGAAGTAAATTGTTCTTTAAAAATTCCCCTAGTATGCCTTTGGTTGCATTTCATCTCAGAAGCACCTTGGCCTAGCAAATAAAGCAAATCTGAAGCCCTTGACAAGATTGCTTAGTGATATTCCTAATAAGGCCAGATGGTAAGATTAAGTTATTTGCAAAGGGTTTTGGCTTGTAGTAACAGTTTCAGGCTATGAAGTTCTGCTGGAGACTTAATTATCATAAAGGGGAAGAGAGGGGAGTGAAGTACCAGAACATCAGCTACTGTAAACTGGTATGGTTCTAGCAAACTCAGTATTGCTCAGTTGGTCCATGACAGCTGCAGGGATGCAGTTTGTTAAAAGCTAACCAATTACTGGGGTTTATTTGAAAAATACATTCAATTCACCACCTTCCCAGCAAGTAGTTTCCAACTTGAAAAATCTCTCAGCTATTGGCAGCCAGCATGCCTAACTCTGAGCCAAGTTGTAGGGTTGGTCATGCACATGTTGAAAGGGAATGGACACCCCAACTCCTGCTAAACACAGTGCAAACTTTAAATGACTAGCGTCAGCTTTAAGCTACTCCACAGAGAGTGGGAACAGTCCACAACAATCACAATCCCTAACAGGGATTTTTTTAAATGTCTTTTCTGTGAAGGTTACTCTATGTTTGAACATCTAGAGAATTATATCAAAGTCCAAGTTCTACCTGAGCCACACAGTCATCAGACTAGCAAAATGCAGACACAGCCATTTCCACACTCAAAAGCATAGAAAGGAGTAATGGTACCACCATCACACCTAGGTACCTCAGCCAGGTATCCTCTATACCAACAAGGGCATCCCCAAGACAAATCACAAACCTGGCAAACAGGGCCAAGAGGCAGCATCAGGAATGAATCCAAGAACTTGGAGCCAGAAACTCTAGTAAAAAAACACTTTGTTAGGAATCAGAAGCTATGAAGTTGAGACCAAAGGCAGGGGCAGAGTCAAAGACAAGAACAGGAACTAAGGAAAAAGCATAAGCCAAGGAAGGGCCTGAGGAACCAGATTGTGGTAGGTTCAGAGCAGGAGCAGAG